TTTCACAGGAAGCAAGCAGTGATGAAGGCACAGGGAGAACATGCAAACTTCACACAGAAAGAAAGATTCAAGCAGTGCGATGCATCGTTATGAGGCTCAGGCCATTTTCTTATCAACAGTATTAGCATGACAAATTCTGCAATTCTGTAAGTCTGAGTTACCTCCAACTTCTGACAGGTGGCTGAAGGAATTAGGAAATGTGCTACACCTAGAGAAAAGATACACTGTGCCAAATAAACCAGGTTTATTTCAGAAAATCTCACCAGTCACCAGTCTGATTGGAAAAACTGGCATGAAGCTTTATTGGTGTTACAGACTAACAATGTCATATTGTAATCTGAACCTTAACTTGGGTAAGTATGTAACAAAAACAAAAAGAAAAGCTCCAACTGTCCAGGATGTCTGACCCTAGAACCTTCTTGTTGTGAGGTGACAGTGCTAACCAGCACCCGGCAGGTTTGTTTTAGGAGCCAATAGCATTTAGTGTTTCTTGTTATAAACTATGCAGTGATATGAGGCCTGTAAAGATATGAATATTAGAAAGCAGGAGGATAGGAACTCTGAAATAAAGTGCAAAGGCCTTAGTGATTTTTTTTTTTTTCAAACTACATTTTTTCTTTCTTTTTTTGCCACCGCTGACTGTGATATAGGCTGGATAGGTGCTACTGTTCTGACCTGTCCCGCACAGCATAGCTCATCATGCCGGTCGACTGCTGGGAGCTGCTCTGCTGGACTCGTGAGCAGGGGTTCCAGCTGGAGGAGCGCTCTGATCTGCTGTCAGACAGCAGCCTTACTCTCCTCTATCCTGATAACTTCCTCAGCTCTCTATTATTCTTCTAGACCCAGTTGAGCTGGGGTTTTTTTCTTTCTCTCTCTCCCCCTATCCTTCCACTCTGTCTCCCTTTTTCAACTTAATAATGGAATCAAGCGCCCCTCCAGAGCAAGCAGCAATGCTGGCCCCTGGTGAAGGAATCATTTTCAGTGAGCATGTGTCAGTCAGCAGGTATAGGAGCACTTGTGGAGTCAATTTGGCATGGAGGAGTAGAGCTATAATACTGTGTGCCAGAGAATATGAAAAGCTCCTCAGTGAGGCAGAAGTGGTGAAATGCAGTATATTATGACAGAAGCTTGCGGTCTCATAAGAAGATTTCTGAGATACTACACAGCTCACATTGTCATTATGGAGCTAGTTAAAGTGGTCTGCTTACTATTCATTACCCTCGGTGATAAATTCAGCTGTGCTTCATCACATCTCTCACTGCTGAGGTGTTGCCCTTCGTACATCACCATTTTATATAAGTGGATGTAATGTTCAGACGCCTCTTGCATGGCCTGTTACCTTGACAACAATTTTTTTTTCAAGACAGTCATGTGAAGTCATTCCCATGCCATGTGAATGTAATCATGACCCATAACTGAATTTAGCCCCCCACCAAAAAAAATTAATCTTATTAACAATTTAGAAAACTGGATTAGAGTAACAAAATCTTTGTTGTACAGCTCAAGGTCCTCTCAATCAACTGGTACAGCTTGATCCTCTGATCAGTTTAATGTTGACTTTGCCAAGTATTTACGTCTGGATAGTGCACACACAGAAGCAGACTGTCAGCTGGGAATAATTCAATATGTAGACTGGCTGCCTGCAACTAGCTGTAATGTGCAGTTGGTTATGAAAATAGAAGTGATGCAGCTAAAAATGTCCCGGGCTGAGGCTCTGTTGAACAAGCACTCGCTTCAGTCATTCTGATTCTTGATTATACTGAGTCAAGAGTGGGAGTGGAAAAAAAAAGTTTAGAAAGGCTACTGTTTGCAAACATCACCTCTCTGAGAATAGGCTGCTGTATTTAAGTGGGTAAGAATATATCTGGCAGTCCTCCAGCTCGGCACTATGTTGTGGACACAGCAATCAGAAAACAACAGCAGGGCATACATGAGGCTGCAAGAGGATGGAGCTTTCAACCATGAGCGCAGGTTCAACACTGAAGCATTTGGAACACGGAGCACGGACTTCTGAAGCTTTCCTCTGCGTTAGCTCAGGTCCCAAGCGCACCCAGTGAATAATCAGTGTCCTCACAACATATGACACAACTTTAATTGAAAACAAGTGAGTCATGGTTGCAACTGAGATGAATAGATTAACAAACATCAATAAATTGTGAAGACAGATTTATTGTTACCCTCAGGCTGTTTTTTAAGTGCACTGTGGCTCTCTGGGTGTGAACAATGTCCCATCAATTCCCTCAACTACTTTTCTGACAGTCTGACAAAGCCAAATGAAAACACATTGCTGTGGTTTGGTTTCACGTACTTATTTTTGGACTATATTTAATATGCATGATGTTAGCAGTTTAAAACATTAAGGTGTTGTCTAGAAACAAAAAGGTTTTACTTGCACAAAGTGAATGTGAAAGAAGTCGCTCTAAAATTGAAGGATCCTGTTATCACGTAATAACCTTGGCGGATGAGCTGCATACATATCGTTTAATAATGATAATCGTTTGCTCTACACTGTCTAATTTTAGTGTGTTAATAACGTGTGAATTTTAAAGAGATTTTTATTAAGTCGTGTTAAGGAGGGGGGAAAAAACTCCAACAGTAAAATATGTTTGGCAATTTCTTTTCAGTTGTCTGCTCTAACAGGAAATTAGTGTGAAGCTGATCCTCCTGGAAAAGAGCAACGGCCTTGATGCTATAAGGGGATTTGTTATATTGGCCTATCTTTGCAGAATAAAAGAAAGGCTAGGAGACAGATTTACATTTCCCCCATCACTGAAAAACTTACTTCATTTGTATCCAGATTTGAAAACCCAATAGAAATGAAAGTATGTTCTTAAAGAAAAATGTGTTCAGTCCACAGATGTTTCAAACTACAAGTGGGTCCACAGTTTAATGCATTTGCTCAGAGAGCTGACTTTTTAAACTGCTGGTTGTGTGTGCATTGTTGTTGCTTTGTGTGCTTATCATTGAGAGTTGTTGATTGCAGGGAATATTAATTTCGGAGTATTGCTTGGTTATGTCCCACCCCTCCCGAGCCGAGGGCTATGTAGAGCACCGGATTCCTGCCAAAAGCCTCTTTTTGTTTTGAGACACATTTCATGTCTGCATTTTTCTCCTTTGATAAGACTTTCATCCTGTTTTCATTGATTACTGTCTGATGAGTCATCCTGATAATACAGTGCAGGCAATTCATCTCTCCACCACACACTGTAGGCTCTTTGTTGCATGGAATGCGTGTGTGCGTGTTTTTCTGAATTTCTGCCTCCTGCCTGTGAATGACGTGGTTGCGATACATAGCGCGTGCGTGTGTTTGTTTGTGAACGTGCGGTATGTACGTCTGCGTGTCTCCATACAAACAACATGCCAGTTCCCTGAAGTGTAAGCCACTGCAACAAACACCCAGCATTTGCAGTATCAGGGCCCTCATTTTCTGCTCCGTGAACAGGAAAGCGAGCTTCCACAAGAGAGAAAAATGGCCAAGTCGCTTATTAACTGCAAGTCACATTAATGAGCCAAGACTGTGTAATCTACAAATACATCCAATATAGGTTTATGATAAATAGTTCCACTGTAATGTCGATCTTTGCCTCGTTCTCTGGCTGCAAAAGGCGTGATTTCAACCTCTGTGCTCAACCTTATTTTCCACACAAAAATCCAAGCAGAGTGTGACAGGCATAGCTACCTTTGAACAATATGACCCCAAGGAAATTGTTCTGTGGAAGAAGCAAAATATTTGCTCACTGGCTGTATCTGAGCTATGTGGAAAGTGAGTCGCTAGTAAGTTCAAAGTGGCTGGAGTGAGGACAATCCCTGCTCTGTCAAGAATTAGAGCCACCTCTGCAAATAGGCCCGTGTGTAATGCCTCAGGGTGGGAGTTTCACCGAGGCTGGGGTTTCCATGTAAATAAACAGTGTGGGGGTCTCGGTGGGTGGAGAGCCCCCACCACCACCACCGTTCTCCCTGGGGTTTGGGCCCAGCCTTTTGTTGCCTTTAATCCAAGCACTCTCTATTGAAAAGCATGAGGGGGTGCCTGGGTGAGATTAGCCCGCCAGCTCTTGTGAGTGCTTGAGTTTCTCACAGACTGCCCCCATACTTTTGGAAATAACACAGTTATCCCACATCCTCAAGGAGGCTGACAAGAATGACAAGTAAGACGACTGCTGGGCAATCTCAGACCTTAAGGTGACATAATGACCTCAGCTTTCCCCAAAGTGAAGCATGGCTGGTTGTATTTAAGTCACTTACTGCAAGGCTTTACCAGACTTGTTATAACCATAATTTAACTCCCCACTATTATACACAATTACATCTTGAATATGTGTGAAGATTTCACACGCATCTGTTGCTAATTTAGCATCTTTGAATGCATGTAGCACTTTAGAAAGATCAGAGATAATGTGATTTTCATTTGCAGCTGTATGGATGTGGTGTTGCCTCTTTTGTTTCACAACCGAGAAACACACATAGTTAGTAGCTACATATACACAAGCAGTCAAGTGTCACATTTCTGCCTTGTGAAAGCAAAACACATATCTATACAACACAACTTTAATATCATGTCTAATGTTAGAACAAGTGGATTGGCCTCTGTGATAAAGGTAAACAAGAGCCTTTTGTCTGCTAGTTACATAGGCCCATATGTAAAGGAAAACTACAGGTTGTAATGTTACAACTGTTTGCATGCTTCCTTTCTTCCTTTGTTTAATGTAGGCTCTCATTACCACGTGGTGGTAACAGATTGTTTGAACTGGAGAGAAAAGCCATTCGAAGCTAATTAAGCAGCCATTCCAGGCTCTATTCACAGGCAGAGGACCGAGGAGCACAGGCATTTGTCAGCGCTTGACCCCGCGTGGTATTGATTGACAACGCTGCCGCGTGAATGACAGGCTCGGCACCGGCGGGCCAATAGGAAGCCGGCGAGTAAGTGCGCCGCGCGGCCATTGGACGAGAGGCCTTAAAGCCGCAGAGGAGTCCCACGTGGGGGCAGAGCCGAACCTTCAAAACAAGGCGCAGAGGCAGCGCTCAGACATGGCTGATGTTCATATCACACAAAGGCAATCATCTCCTCTTCCCCCGCTGAGCAACTATCATCCAAATGCTGATAGGTAGACGAGCGGGTATGTTGTTCAAGAATCTCGAAACACTTACGAGAAATTATATCGAGACGCTCCCGTGGCTTCAATTTTGGTGGGTGTCGTCGATCGATTGGTCATTATATTGTGCCCTTCACGCTGTGCGTGTAGGAAGAGGTGGTGATAGTGCTGGCGAGAGGGAGGGGGGTTAAACCCGGATATTTCTGGTTTTGCCCGCTACTTTGTATATTTCGTGTTAGCATTTCTTCGTATTTTGTAACCACGTTTTACAAGAAGCACTCCCCTCATCCGTTTTTCTGAGTGTGGGGATAAAAATTCACCGTACACCCCTCCTCCTCCCCCGTCCCGCTGGTGGTCTTACCCCCTCAAAAAAAATTCATCATCTTATGTCGGAGGCGCGCACACACAGTGAGGGGGGGAAAGGAAAACACCCTAATGAAGCGCGGATGTGGAATTTGTGCTGTCTCTGTCAAATTTGGATATCATCGTCGGCACATCAATGCCTGCTGTTGTTGCTGTTGTACACGGTGGGACGGACGGATGATGCCTTGTGGATCCGCGGGATGATGTCATGTACCGTTGCACCCCACGTGGGGGCCGTCGCTCTCCGATAGGCAGATGTGGCCGTATTCCTTCCGAGTAATGCGATTGGACAGATAGGCGCTTTCACGGCAGTTCAGCCCTGCTGCCTGTGTGTGGCAACCGGGGTAAGCTGGACAACTGGGGGAAACGCGAGATTGTGGAGAGTACCATGTTACGCTTTTAAAGAATCTCCAACCTCTTCGAGTCGGAAGACAGATTTTGGAAGCATATTTATTTATTTTCTTCTTCTTCTTCTTCTTCTTTGTGGGATTAACCAGCCGCAGAAGGCGCACATTCCTCGGAGGTTCGCGGTTGAAGAATAAAGTATAGTTTAATCGAGCCCGACCGCACTAAAAAATTTTCTCCCAGCCTGGTTGGGTGCGTTCTGGAGAGAGCGAGGGAGAGAGGATGCTTGACGAAAACTGCGTCCACCAGGTTTACATTAGGAGGGATTAAACGCATGAATTATAGCCTGCTCAGTATTTTCTTCGGGAGCAGAAGTCGGACGGACGCTTCGGACTCACGCACGGGTACGTATTTACAAGAGCTGTTGATTTCTTTCTTAGTTTTTTTTTCTAATTTTTGGGCGTACGCTCGACCCCGCTTCCACGACTATGAGCGGGAGTCAAACAGTAGGTGCAAGCCAGCGGCTGTCGCTTATGGCCTGCCTGTAGACGTCCTACGGACCGGGTGAGGGGGCGGTGGTGGTCATTTCACAAACAGAAGTCAGTTTCCGTTCGTTCTTTTTTTTTTTTCTTTTATTATTATTATTTTTAATAAAGAACGAAACGGATCTGAGCATTAAAATTGCACGGCGGATAAGTGGCTTTTCCAACCTCGTCTACGTGTTGGCATCATGTTAAACTGCACGTTGAGATTTGTTAGGATATCGAGTCTGACCACTGACCGAATAAGGTCATCAAGAAGACAGAAGCGCTCGACTGTTGTGCTGCTTCTCTGACTCGGCTCGAACTGCTGCGGTAAATGGGACTAGTGTGCTGTGGTGACTACTTACTTATTGGTAAACAGTGTAAAGTGTATGTGTGTGTGTTTTTTTTTCTATTTTATTTTTACGGTTATAGATTAAACCGCGTCATTTCTCAACACAGGATTTTCACGACCTCCCTCCCCCCCCCCCTCTCCTCATCCCCTGCCTCCCCCCTCCCTCACTCCCCTCGGCCCTGTCTGCTGAGACTGGTGTGGCTGTGAGCAAATTTCACCCGTTTTGCCAAAGGACCTGTACACTGGAGGGATAAACAAAGGATACATTTCAAGATGTATCCACAAGGCCGACATCCGGTAAGACTCGCTTCACCTATACTTAGAGAAGATTGCATATTTATTACAAAACACTGGTGCTGGTGTATGGTTCCTGCCTGTGCCGTGTCCTCCCCCACGTTCTCCTGAAACATGCCCTGCAAAGCGTTTTCCGCTCTTAATGCAGGTCATCAGATTTCTGTATGGGTTTCATTACAGTGCATTTATGCTTCATCGGAATATGCAGTCAGTACTAAATGGATGCAGATTGTTTGTATGCCTGGAGATATTTACTCAGCTAGACACTTGCATATGACTGTGTCTGAACGCGAAGACAGGTGGTGGTAGTGGTGGTGGTGATTTGAATTTCTTTTTTGAAATTACATTTCATATTTGGTGTGAAAGCTAATGTGTTATTACCCCCTGGAGGTGTGAATCAGACCCACCTTGTGGTAATGTCTTCCCGCAGAGGAGATGTTATCCTAAAAGCCTGAGTCTAAATGTGTGAACTGTTCAGCTCTCCTTAGCAGGTCACAATGCAGAATAAAACTTTCTCTGCCTCTCTCTTTTTTTTTTTTTTTTTTTTTTTTTTTTACAACCACTTTTCTTTTCTTTTCTTTCAGGCTCCACATCAGCCTGGCCAGCCTGGCTTCAAATTCACCGTAGCAGAGTCTTGTGATAGGATTAAAGATGAATTTCAATTCCTGCAAGCCCAGTATCACAGGTAATGATTATACTCAAAGAATGGCAGTGTCAACATTTACTCTATTGGATTTTGAGGTTAATGCTAATATTTGACTGTTGACTTCTGTAGGAGCATATATGTTTGTTTTTTTAAAAGCATCCCCGTTTTTATCCTGTGTACATCTCTGTTAAGTGGTTAAGTGTGACTGAGTGATTGAAGTGCCACAGACGCTTGAAAATGACACCTGGTCTCCTATTTTAAGTCTTAAGGTGGAGTATGACAAACTGGCCAATGAGAAGACAGAGATGCAGCGCCACTATGTCATGGTAAGATTGTGTTACAATTGAAAGCAATTATGGTTTCCAGATTGCACGGCTTGTTGAAGATCTAGTTGGGGTGGAGTGAGACGGGGCTATTGTGATCACCTATGTGGTTGTTAGGGCGGGCTGAGTGGCAGGTACAGGCCTGTGAAAGCCCCCCCGTGGGGGTTGATGTAGCAGGTTGTTACAGAGGAGCGCTTCCTGACAGGCGGCCGGCAGTGGGCTGCCGCTCCATTATAGCATGCCCCTGATCTCCAAGGGTCAGCTGCAGTGTTGCCCTCTGTGTGTGCTGATCTGATTATTCTCCTAGGAGACTCCACGCTCAGACATATGCATGGCCATAAATTAGGTGTGAGCTGAGGGCGGAGGCCCAGAGCAGCGTGTGGGAAAATACACCACAGTAAACAAAATGGAGGATGTGGAGCACACTGCAGTCTCCTTTATACTCAGCTTCTTTGTAAACCTTAATCATTAGCTTGCTTTTTTTTTTTTTTTTTTTAAAGTAGCCTTTTAGAAAAACATAGGTGTGCCCCTGACGCAAAAATTAGCTCAGACATGACACACTAAGAAGGCTATCCCAGGTAAACACACCGGGAATTATTTAAACCAATGCATGCAGCCTTAAATTAAACTTCTTTTTTTTTTTTTGCTCAGAGGAAAACAGCATGTCGGCCTGACAAGCAGGAGGTTAGGTAAACATGTTGGAAAGTATCCCACAGCCAGCGCTCGGTGTCAGGTTACGCCATGGCTGTGGGGCTCTGATCTCAGACAGAATGGCTCTCTTGTTTGAGAGTAATTTTCGAAGAAGCTAATGGACTGAATAATGCATTGGCCTCATCAAATAGACGCTGACTGGAAAGCCATTTCTGCTCCGGCTGCCACTTGTGGGCTCGGCGGATTACATTTCAGGCAGACAGACTGACCTGGCTGGAAATAAGTGTTGAGCAACCGCGTTACTCTAAGTAAACAAACATCACAGGGATCTGAGGGCTTAAGCTGATCAATAACTCTAACCCTCTCTTTTCTGCCCACACTGCAAACAGCGAAGCATTGATTTATTGGCTATTCACTCTGAGCTGCTCAAAGAAATCCTTTTGTTATCTGATCTTATAACGTATCTCCTTTTCCTGTAAAAACACTTTTTATATAGGCGTTATAGTGTTCAAACCCTGACCGTGATGTAATCAGCGCAGCGATAATTACATTGAGGTTACGCCAGTCTCATGAGTGTAGAGCGCAAAAACACTCGCCTGTTGTTACACGTAATAAATATCATCAGATCTTGTAACTGCGCTGACGTCACTAACCACAATTAAATCCCTGCTTTCGTTTCAGTATTACGAGATGTCCTACGGGCTGAACATTGAGATGCACAAGCAGGTACGTATCACAGTGCTGCTCATATTTTTCAGCTCATTGGTTTTCCACGGTGTCAGGGGATGTCAGATCCAGGCGGAGCCACTTACAGGCTGTGAGCTGAACTGAGCATCAGTAATGGTCTGAAAACAGGCAGATTCACTGCACACAAACAACAACACAACCCCAAACTTCTGCCACAGCTTGTACAAGTGCTGTGAGCCGTTATTGGAAATTTGCATATGCTGTGCATCCGGGATTTGACTCAGCTTTCTGATAAGATTAAAGGTAGACTTTGGCAGGCTTAGCCTTTTGACTTAATGATTAAAAAGAGAGGCCCTCTGATAGGTCAGTATTTCTTTTTTTCAGGATAAAGTAATTACACCAGCAGAGCAAAAGTCCTTTAGTTACTTCTTTGTGGTCTTATCTTTATCAGAAGATCCTATCTTGTATGTCTCCGCAGATAAATCGCACTGAAGTGATAGAGATTGTGTGAATGAGTGACATTTCATTGTCTATGTTCCCGCGCCCCCCTGCGACTGCCTGGCTTGGTTATAATGACAGCGTTGGCGACACGGTGGGTTGGCGTGTTAGGGCGATCCATCAGTGTCTGTGCTGTGTGTCACACTTCCACATGTCTGTCAGGGCTCAGGCCCTTCTGATAGCTTCTGTCAGGCACTTATCGCCAACCAGAGGAGAGAGGTGGGGGGGATGGGATCAGGAGACAAGTTGGAGAATAGAGCTGGAGGCGGGGCAACAGCCCAGCTCTGTGTAAACAGGTTAATCGACTGATCCATTTTAGCGCCTGACTTTTATCAGGAACCTCAACAGAGCTGATGGAAGCGCTTGAATAATTCATCAGTGGGGCCCTAACCTGCTGAACGGCGTGTTTGTGAGCAAACAGTGTGGGCCCCGTCCATGCAGCTCCCCCAGCTTACAGCTCAGGCAGGGGAGGAGGAGAAGATGGGGAGCGGTTAACAGGCAGGGTTGGGATGGATTATTGGATGCACACAGGCATATTATTTTCCTGCCAGGAGATTTATTCCATGGTGAGGAAATTCATTCCTCTAACAGTGCCTTTTTCATTACTGTGCAGGGACATAATTCACATTTCAGAATGCGTACACGGGCAAAGCTTAGACTGACGTTGGTGGTGTTATCTGATCCCTCTCTATCAGCCATGTCAGTTTGTCGATGCAAACTGCTAATTTCTGCTGCATGATGTCAGCTGGTAATTATCTTCATATGGTGCTTGTTTTCCAAGAGCTGCATGGGGTTTGGGGCTTGTATGGTGCTAAGATTCAATCAGATTAGGTCGTTACCTACGGCCGTAACGCAGCCATGTCTGCAGGAATCATTTGCTAAGTAGCAAAGTATCTGCCGTGGCGAGCGCCAAAGCAAACTTGGTCAGCCAACAGGCTGTCTGCAGTCTTCATACAAAAGAGGCGTGCAGTGAAAAGTGGTTGGAGGAACTGTGGCTCTCCAAGCCATCAGTACTTCCATATCCCCAATCTGTCATGTGGGACTGGACTGCAGTGTAATAATTTCAGGGTGTGAACTGTTGGGTGTCAGTTTCACTTACATAAGCAGAAAAGTTACTTGACTGTACTTTAAGATGTGGTGTAACAACGACGGTTATGTTCTTATGCTGTTTTTGTTAGAATAAGTTTATTGTTTTTTTAGATTGTGTCATGCTTTGTTTAGAAAAAAACACAGCTCGACTGCTGCAGCTGACAAGACTAATCACAGTAGTGACTCACGTATTCATTTATGCAGCTTTTCAGCATTTTTCAAATCAATACCAATAACTTTAAATGCCAATTAGAAACTAATTCTGGACTCACTACACTTCTTTATCAAAGACTGGTTTAGTGGAAGCATCATTTTTTGGCTTAAACAAACTCTGATGTTTTTCTTCTTACTCTGAAAACCTGACATGAGGCAACGCTGTCAAAATTGCCGAGCCTCTAAATGTGACTAGTCAAGTATTGTTTATAGATGGATCATGTGACCAGAGCCACCACTTGTTTTCGCTCTACATTTAATACTCATCAGTGTCTCGAGTCCATTTTCCCATTGCTGATAGCAACAGGCGAATACCTCTCTGCACACCATTGACAAGCCAGCCCGAGAGTGCTCTTAAAGTGGTGCTACACAGGTCCGAGTACCTGTAATTGTGTAGCGGCAGTGCAAAGCCAGCCTCTCAAGGGCCAAGCTGTCATCTGCTTAAAGTGACAACAGCCCAATTTTTATCTGCCGGCAGGGGGAAAAAAAGAAATCCTCCCAGCTCTGCACCGTATCTATTTTGACAGCAGTGGCGAGTTGAGTTGTTGCCTTTTCCGTGTATTTGCATGTTGTGCTGTGAGAGTGTAGAGACTGCCAGTTGTTTAGGGCAGAGTGGATCAACCACCTCCTGACCTTTCCCAGCCAGCTGTCACCATGACACTAAGCTACAGAGGAATGGGCCGTGCGCTCGAGGCCTTTCTGCAAATCCTGTCAAATGTCCGACTGCTATTTACATGGCTTATCTGAACAAACATGGATTATACGGGTCCTGTCGCTTTTCGACCATTTCTGTGGGGCTCCTTCAGCTCTTTCTAGAACACTTACTACGTTGCATTAATACCAGCGCTCGTAAAACATTTATCTTTATTACCTGTAGGTCACATTTATTGTGTGCCAAAGGGGACCGCGGTTCAGTCTCTTTCTTTTTTTTTTTCTTTTTCTTTTTTTTGTCTGCGGGCAATAATCAAGTTATAGTCATTGTTATCTTTTGGACTATTGTACTTCCTGTGACACATGCTGCCATATATTTGTTTGGCATTATTGCATCTGATCCGCGGCTTCATCTGATATTGCATCTTCAGCTTGTTGTTGGTTGTCCTGCTGGCTTGACTGGCTAAGTGGCTATCCATGTTGCAGCTTGGGTCAGCAGGTCTCGTTCTGTTGGACATTACTCTCCAATCTCTCTGGCTCTGCTTAGAGGTAATATGTCTGGCTGCCAAAACTGCCTGGCATTTCTGCCATGTGTAATAAATAAGCTAGCGGTCTGCAAAGTACATTGTGTGTGCTGCTGCTCCAAATGAAAAATCAGAGAAAATCCCTGTGATGTGTTTGTGTTCTGCAGTGGCCCTGGGTTGAACTGCGGCTCATAAATTCCAAAGATGATGTAGCTTTGGCGCTGTTATTTTTCTGCTCCCAGTGCAGAGCTTGAACCTGAAAGTCTCATCTCCTTTCCCTGGAAGGAGAAAGAGAGGCAGAGCAGGCCGGCTGTGCAGTGTTTTTACAGGAGACTGGAGGGGGTGGGGGGCGTTGAGCATAGCCCCCCCCCCCCGCCCCCGATCTTTCCCCGCACACCTCCTCCTACTGCTCTTTTTATCCACCATTCATTTGGTACGTTCATGTGATCGACAGGCTGAAAATTCAATTTAATGACCTGCCTCCAAGCACGTAATATGATTTTAAAGCCTGTTACGGTCAAGCAGAGGTGCCATTTGCATAATGATCCCAGCAAGATAGGGCTGCAGCCGTTGCCATGGCAGTTGGTAGACAAGCAGAAGAATGGAGGCAGGGCGTCGTGGATGTTGGGAGGCTATGAGGTTGGTGGGCTGGGTGCTTGATTGCAGTGAGAAACGGCTTGGGCTAAAGCTGTAGCTTTAGCAAACGCCACTTACGACACAGGCTGCTTGCTTAATGGTATTGATTGAAGGTGTCTCCCCTGCAATGTTATTACCGTTTGTCTTTGCATTCTCTGCAGTCCTAATTGTTAATGTAAATTCCCCACACCGTTACATGTAAGTAAACAATGCGCTGTAGTTAGTAGGCCTTCCTTCCTGGGGTGTGGTTGTGTGGTTTAACTCTGAGGTTAACTGCAGGACAGCACATTCGCAGATGAGGGGAAGAAGGGCAGAGTGAGAGAGGATCCTCTCAACACAGCAGCACTCTGCCTGCTCATATCCGTTTAGCATGGAGTGCACTCTTAGCACAGCTGTGCTCCATCCCCCTGGGCTCTCCTAATGTTTTAAATATTTCAAATGTCAATATCACGCTGTTTAGAGGATGTTGAGTCAAGCAGTTCTGATTGCCGCAGTAATTGACTTAATCGGTGTAAACATTAAAGGCGGGGTTATATGAAGTCACTGTCTCTTTCATACTTTACCATCTCATTTTGCTCCCCTTTCTTTGTTTTCCAGACGGAGATTGCCAAACGGCTCAACGCAATTTTAGCTCAAATTATGCCTTTCCTGTCACAAGAGGTGAGTTTTGAGCCCGGTTTCCAAATGGTGTCACAGTTTACTACTAAAGCAACGCCACTTATTGTTGCCTGTACCCTTAAGATAATACTCCTTGCTTTTGGGAATAATTGTGGTTAAGAGCATTTTATCTCACCTTTATAATTTTAGTGTTGCTTTGGAAAAAAACTGTGAAATTCATAGATGAGCAAGTGTGGATGTGTGATAAATAATCTTTTGCAAATGTCTGTCCACAGCACCAACAGCAGGTTGCTCAGGCAGTAGAGAGGGCTAAGCAGGTGACTATGACTGAGCTGAATGCCATCATCGGGGTACGTGGACTTCCCAATCTGCCTCTCACCGTGTGTATACCCCCTTTTATTCCTTTATTTGACCTTGGGTAGGGGCAAACCTTCACATCAAATTCATATACCGAGTAGTCTGAACTGTTGAGTGAACACATTGTAATACACCACTTGCTACACTTATAGTGCAGATTTGCCTCTTTTTAAATCAAATGTGTCATCACTATTTTTTTTTTTCTTCATTTCATGACTTATTTTTCACTATTAAATTCAAACGAAACTATTAATATTGGCAACTACACCCCAAAAACAAACCAAAAAAAGACTCATGGAATGCTTTAGCTTTGGCCTCGGTGGCATCTTCAATGCCTTGTTGTGTGTTGATAAATGCGAGCCTGAGAGCTCTCGAGATCCCCCTTCGCAGCTCGTATTGCTTTAATTGGCTAAGGTTTTAATGAGGAGCCTCATCTCTCACAGTTGACCTGGATTGCTGTGGGAATTAAAAGGCTGAGGGTGAACTAAACACAGCCAGCACTGCAAGCTAACTGAGACAGCACAGACAGTCGTCAGCCACCACGGCTCCGCTGCACAGTTCTTTTCACGCCACGGCAGCGAGCTGTAATCCGCTGCATTCATCGTGGCTTCCAAACGCCATCTGCTCCTCATTGATCAGCTGTGCTGACCCTGGCGTGCTATAATGAAAGTGATTGGTTTCACCTGCGATAGCAAGCTCAAACTGTCTGTGATCTTGTGACTACTGTAGACTCTCCGGCATGCACAGAAGACTAGCCTAAAGGCTCACTTGATGACTGGAAGCACATATTGGAATTCAATTAATAACCCCCTTGGTGACCTTTTGTTCCTGGATAATTGCTCCCTAGAATTTGCCTGAGTGGGTGTCTTGAGGTGATGGAAAACTGTTTGTTACTCCTCTGTTGGACTGAAACGGATGCTTTATTACAGTTTTTGGAAGAGCAGCTGCTGCAGTAGTTCCTAAGAATAGGAGATTTCACTAGTGGGGGTTTTTGTGTTCTATATGATTTTCACATTTGGAGCATCACAGTTCTAGGATGTTGTACATTTGAATTTGTATTTTTCATCATCTGACTGTGCCTTGTTGGGCTTTCAAAGCATTAAGAAAACATTTTATGAGCTATCTGACAAGCTCAGAGTTTTAGTTTGTGGTCTTTTGTGGGAACCAGGACAGTTTTTATGAAACAGTAAGGCTCCCACCCGGGTCACTCAGGTCGCTCATGTCAGAGGAGGAGGAAATGTAACCACTGTATGTTTTACGAATACCTTGCCATTAGTTATTCATTAAGAAGAAGCTCTGTAGGCATGCCAAAATCCTCATGTATTTTGTAAAGCAAGGTGAAAGAGCGTGCCAGGTAGACAGGAAGCATCCAGGAGCCAGCTGCATGTCTTATTGATGGAGCTGAGGGCCATTAATAGAATGAAACTGGGGCAGCTGCATGTGTTGAGATGAACCTGACAAGCAGCGTTTTCTGGCAGATTAGAAAATACCCAAAATATCCGCGTCATAAACAAGGCATTTTAAACTACACTCAGTTAGAGGAAAAAGGAGCAAAGAGTAGGTCTTTATCTTAGAATATTAAATTAGAGAAAATAGGCCAGACTCCTTTCTTTATTTATTATTGTCTTCATTTATGGCCCCTGTAATGAGGGCTGTTGCTGATCAGCCATGCTTATTACCCATCAGTGCCTCATTAAACACAATGAGCAAGGATGGCTCTCCCCTGCCAATGAACTGGCTCCTTAATTTCCCTCATGGACACAATATTATAACACACTCGCTCTCTTAGGCTCCCAGACAGACACGGAGAGAGAGAGAGAGCTGTGTCTGTCTTGGGTACGTTTTGTAATTGGATTGACATCTGCCCCATGTAACAAAGCACAAGGTTGCAAGTTAAAAAGTTAGCTATTAGTCATGTTAGTCCTCTCTACTTCTACAACAGAAAAACAAAAGAACAATGTGGATTATATTTCTAAGGACATATTTAAGCACTAAGTATTTTGTATTCCTGCTACAGAATTTAGGAGTTCCTGCTGAGTTAATGTATTTTTAATTATGTGTTAGGCCTGCCCACTACCGTCTTCTATGCGTCGCACTACTTCCCTGGTCATTACAAAGATTCTAATATTCCTGAAATGGCCATAAATGGCCACTGATTGAAATCCGTCTTGTAAAAAGAGAGAGGAGTGTGCTGTAACAGCATCTGAATTATTCAGCTGGCTCGTATACGGGTAATAAATTGCTGATGTTTTTATTGGTGTCTCAGCTAAGTATTATTTAACCTTGCTTTAAACTGCTTACTTCCATGCTGAGTGCCTTTTAACTCCCATCTATTTCCCTGTGCCTTTCAAATATTGATGCTGAGTATTGGAGGGTTGACTGAGTGCCAGCATGGGACCCCTGGTCCTCGCTCCCGCAGCAGCCTTCCAGACACACACTCAGAAACGCACTCAAAGACTCAGAGTGAGAGGGAAGGCGTGCCAGCTTCTAGCACTCTGTGTTCCCGCAGTCTCTTAAAGTTTGGGTGCGCAAATGATTCATGTTCCGTCAATCCAGAAATGTGACTATGAGATCAGTAAACAGACACTGGATGTGTTTGAAAAGTGGGTATTGTTTAGCCCACAGACAGATTTCCACAGAGTTTTGTATTCTGATCGCTTAAATCACAGAGGCACAGGAGTTGTGTTGTTGCAGTAGAATATGTGCCAGTTTACCTTTAAGCATAATGATTTTCTCTTTTAAGATGTGGCTGAAGCAGACTTTTTTTCCTTTTGGATAAAGTAGAATGAAAAATATTTCAGTTGTTTTCAATAATACACTGCGATTAGTGGGTTATTTCGATAACTTGAGCACCTCTGCCTCGTGTGTTACACATGCTGAGAGTGGTCAGGCAGTTATAGGTTTTACTCGCCTCAGCACAGATCTAGGGCTTATGCCACCCTGGCCTGGTATGGAAATAGCACTGAAGGGGATTGCTGTGTGTTCCTGACAGTAATAGACGTGTGAATGTGCTAATATCATCTGGGGTTTAGCCTCGTGCTTAGTTGGTGGTTTCTCCTCGCCCTTTCCCTCCAACCCATTTGTTGTCTGTCTGTCTATCTCCCTGTCACCTTACAGCAGCAGCAGCTCCAGGCACAGCACCTCTCCCATGCTGCCCATGGGCCTCCAGTCCAGTTGCCGCCTCACCCCTCGGGCCTGCAGCCTCCTGGCATCCCCCCTGTGACGGGCTCCGGATCAGGGCTGCTGGCGCTAGGAGCTCTGGGGAGCCAAGCCCACCTCCCAGTAAAGGATGAAAAGAACCACCATGATCTCGAACACAGAGGTGAGAAGAAGAGCTCGGCCCCGTAGCTTTGTTAGCTAGTTATTATTTGCGAGAATCAAAAGGCATATTAATTTTAGCAGTTCTGAAAAGATGTTAAACTGACATAAACCAATTTAGTGCTGAGTGCTTCTCACTCTCACAATCATAGGGTCCTTAGGTGAGGAGCACATCCTGTCTGTTCACATTCTGTCTGGGTAATGAGCTGGTACATTCCCAGCCCATGACTGCATAAGCTATTCAGCAGCTCCAATACACGCCGATAAGAGGGGCCTTGTGCCCTGCAGTTGATTGTCACACATTCGGCTAGAAGCATCTGTTATGATGTGCTAAGTGACTTGTTTTTCTCTTTGCTCCGCTTGGTTTCATCTTTACCTCGGCCGCCACCGTGATGTCTGCGACACAGAGAGCACGGTAAGTTTCCCGAGCCGCACTCGTTTTGCTTTTTTGTAATTCATCACATTTTCATCTGCGCTGCAAGTGTCAAGTAGAGCCTTCCATCAGTGCATGCATATACTGATTTCATGCGGTGTAATCTGAGTTCAATAAAATGATTAATGGAAAATGAGGTCTGGAATATAAATCGTGTGTGTTTAATCCAGAAGGGGAAATGACTGGTATCATGTGAGAGAGATTAGAAGCCTTGTAATTTCATCACAATTAAAGAAAGGCTTGGACTTCCCCTTCTTAAAGGATTTATTTGATCCCTTCTACTGTCTCCCTTGTTTACCAGCTCTCTCTTCTTCTTCTTGGCATGTGATGAATATTTATGAACACAAATGGAGTGTTGTTTTGTTTTTCTTTTCTTTTTTTTCTTCTTCTCCACCTCGTCTGGCTGGGCCTGCTAAAGCGTTATATTTGAAATGCTGCGATCTATGATGGCTTGTGATGGGCCTGTGAGATTGTGTTTCTGTAGGCCGGGCCAGCTGAATGGGTGCAGTCATGTCTGAAGAAATGGAAGTCCTGGGGCGATTAGCGGGCCTGTTTTGTTTCTGTGCTCTCGTCCCTGGTCATCTGATAGTAGAATGGTGACTTTGGCTAATGAGTCACGCTAAGCATCTCTTTAAAGGTCAGCCATTATGCAGACAGTGGCTTTTTGCCCAGACTGCTAGTCCATCAGCCATTGTTCACTTCTCTGAGTCGCCGCTGACTTAGTCCATGTTTTCGCTTTGGTCCTCAGATGAGGGACAGAGAGAATCGGGAGAACTTGGCAGTTTACAAGCAAGTGGCAAACTCCTGTGAAAGCTGCTGGACACCTGCCTAAAGCCTCCCATTCTTTTGGCGTTTAGAGTGAGCTGTCCCAGCTTGTGTGGGCAGGCTCCATGAAGAAGCACCAGTCAGTCCCACGCTGCCGTGCCCACTGGCAGGATATAGATTCTCTTTCTTTATCTGAGCTCAAAGCTTCAGCTGACATGGTGCCCAAGCGCACTACGGCAATCAATGCCCAGCACCCAAAACATATAGGTTCTCTCCCCCCTCTCTCTCTCGCTTTACTTTCGTTTTTCTCTCCTCCCATCTCTATCTCTCTCTCTCTCTCTCTCACGCTCAGCCTGACTGACTCCGGAGAAAAGGCCCTCTGTTCAGCTACAACACACTGCTCATGTCCCTGTGAGGCTGTTTGTTGTCCAGTTATGAGGAGGAGGGAGCCCAGCTCGGAAAACAAGCCCTCCTCCATTCAGTTCAGATAACAGCCCATTCTGTTGTGTGGCCAGGGACAGGCTTGTGTGCAAGATTGGGCTTGGCTGGTGTCAGGGTACTGTTTGGAGCTGGCCTACAGCTGCATTTTAAGAGTCCGCCGTATCCATCATTGTGTGAATAAGGCATTTTTAGTGTTTGGATTGGCACAGTGTGTTCTCTGTGAATTTGTAATGGATGAGTGACTTGCTGCGCTCTCTTACAGAAGGAAGACAAAATGGTAATAAAGCGTGTTTGGTTTTTCCCCTTTTGCAGAATAACTCAATATCCCCATCAGAAAGCTTACGCACAGCCAGTGAGAAGCATCGCAGCTCCTCAGACTACAGCTTGGATTCTAAGAAACGCAAAGTGGAGGAGAAGGACAGCATGAGTAGATATGTAAGTCCCTGAAGGAGTAGTTCAGCATGTCGGGGAAATATGCTTATGAATGGTGACTTAAAAAATTGCTTTAGGTTCACAATTTAATTTAAAAAACTAATGAAGTTTAGACCAGAGAACAACATCCCTGGAGTCTGTGCTTTAATTTTTCCCCATCTGTGTGTGTTAAGTTAAATGATTACTAATTATTGTTACAGGACAGTGACGGAGAGAAAAGCGACGACTTGGTGGTCGATGTGTCCAATGAGGTGAGCTGCACAGCAATTGTTCGTAGCACATTGATGTGACGTTGCTCTTATGTAAATATTACTGGTGTGTTTCTCCAGGATCCTGCCACTCCAAGGGCAAGCCCAGCCCACTCACCACCTGAAAATGGTATTGACAAGCCCCGCCCCCCAAAGAAAGACACACCCAACAGCCCCGCATCAGTGGCGTCATCTGGAAGCACCCCTTCCTCCAAGGCTAAGGAGCTCAGTCATGTAAGACATCAAAAGAGTTGTGGACAAACTGGGACAGAAAGGGTTTTAAATGACAATTGCCGAGAGACCAAAGGGACATGTGCAAATAGATCTAGGACGTTTTCTGCAGTGGATTAGCAGTGGCTGTCTGTGCTTTAAGTGCATGACTAAACGTCAGGGATAATATTGTCCCGCATCAGGATCAGTCAGGTCTTCTCTGTTAATAGCTCAATGTATTTAACTATTCCAGGATTTTTCCCTCTGCCTCACTAAAAGATTAAAGCCAAAGCAGTAAGGGGATAAAAACGTCCCCATCTCCATTGTGACCATAATAGGTTTTAGAATAAATAGCAGTTTATGGCTCTGCAGGACTATGAGGGTTGTCAGAATTAGATTGGATTAAGTTCAGTTTGCTTTCAAATTGTCAGTGCACAGTGCCTGGTTTCCGGGATTGTGATTGTGCTTGCTCTCTCGTTCCCTTGACAGAATGACAAATCCTCCACGCCTGGTCTCAAATCCAACACCCCCACCCCCCGAAACGATGCCCCCACCCCTGGCACCAGCTCGACTCCTGGGCTCAGACCCATCCTGGGCAAGCCACCAGGCATGGAAGCTCTCGGTTGGTACCATTCTCTTCACTTTACAGAAACTGATCTTTTTTTTCCATTATTTGCAAAACTGTTAGGCCACAAACCGATCTCCATCTCCTGTCTTTGTCTACAGCAGCCCCAGCTTTGCGGACACCTCTATCCATTGCAGGGTCCTATCCTACCCCCTTTGCTATGATGGGCCATCATGAAATGAACGGAGGCCTGACTAGCCCTGGGGTGTATGCTGGTCTGCACATCTCCCCTCAGATGAGCGCTGCAGCAGCAGCAGCCTATGGACGCACTCCCATGGTAAAGGCTTTCGCTTTCCTTTTCTGTAGTTTTGGATCATCTAAAAGTCATGTACAGGATGCAATGAGGGATTTTACTCTGATAACAGTTGAGTATGTTAGTCAAACATTCCCATATCATCTTTTAGGGGTTTGATCCTCACACCCACATGAGAGCCCCGGGCCTCCCAGCCAGCCTCACATCTATTTCTGGCGGAAAACCGTAAGTGTCTCCCTAGATATGTTGCAGATCAATTTTTTTGTAACACAGCTGATATCAAATACTGACAGGCACGTGTCTTTTCCTTCAGAGCGTACTCCTTCCATGTCAGCGCAGATGGTCAAATGCAGCCTGTGCCCTTCCCACCCGACGCCCTCATTGGTCCCGGTATTCCACGCCACGCCCGTCAGATCAACACACTGAGCCATGGCGAGGTGGTCTGTGCTGTCACCATTAGCAACCCCACACGTCACGTTTACACTGGTGGCAAAGGCTGTGTCAAAATCTGGGACATGAGCCAACCAGGCAGCAAGAGCCCCGTGTCCCAGCTGGACTGTTTGGTGAGGACCTCATCAGCTTTTCTTAATGTTTACACACATGTTATTTCATTCAACACTAGAAAAAAATTAACAAGCCAAACACTTATTCACATAGTTCAGATTAGGTTTGAGGTTCAATCTTTGGTTTATTTGTTGTGACAGGACGTTTTTTATCCTCCGCCCATGATTTGTTTGTTTCTAAAGCTCTCCCTAGCTCCACTGCCTTGAACATGTATTGATTTGCTTTGTCCTCGGTGCAACAGAACAGGGATAACTACATCCGCTCCTGTAAGCTACTGCCTGATGGTCGCACATTGATTGTCGGAGGCGAGGCCAGCACACTGACCATCTGGGATCTGGCCTCCCAGACACCGCGGATCAAAGCTGAGCTCACCTCCTCAGCCCCGGCGTGCTACGCCTTGGCCATCAGCCCTGATGCCAAAGTCTGCTTCTCGTGCTGCAGTGATGGAAACATTGCCGTTTGGGACCTGCATAACCAGACTCTCGTTAGGTCGGAAACAAAACTTTATTTCCAGTATGTGGGCTTGAGTCAATTTAAAAGATAATGTCAATAACTGTCTGTATGCCTTCCGATTTTGATTTTAGGCAGTTTCAAGGTCATACGGATGGTGCTAGCTGTATTGACATATCCCATGATGGCACTAAGCTGTGGACAGGTGGTCTCGATAACACTGTTCGCTCCTGGGATTTGAGAGAGGGTCGACAGCTGCAGCAGCACGACTTCACTTCACAGGTACAACGCTGCATAATGCAAGGGGCCAGACCTGGAGTCTGTTTTCCTTTCGGCCGAAGAACTGTCTGTAATTATTGTCCTGTTTGATCTCCAGATCTTTTCTTTGGGCTACTGTCCGACTGGCGAGTGGCTTGCTGTGGGAATGGAGAGCAGCAACGTGGAAGTGCTCCACCATTCAAAGCCTGACAAGTATCAGCTCCACCTGCACGAAAGCTGTGTCCTTTCCCTCAAGTTTGCCTACTGCGGTATGAACAAACACACAAAAAGAGCATCAGATAAAGCTGACCGTATTTAACTGTGAAGAGCCCTTTGCCTGTCCTTATTAGTGCCTTTTTTAAAATAGCGTAAATGCTTGTTGTCATCTCAAGGCTACTCTTCATTTGTAGGTACTTTTCCTATTACTTGTTAGTGAAAAGTGTCCTGATGGCACTTTTGTTGTCTTTGCAGGTAAATGGTTCGTAAGCACCGGGAAGGACAATCTGTTGAATGCTTGGAGGACTCCTTATGGCGCCAGCATATTCCAGGTATGCAGATCAATGGACTCTGTCTGTAGCCAGGCCAAACGTACACACAGATCTCTAAGAGGAAGGGCAAAACGACCGCTGTCTGACAGGACTATCCTATCAGTGAAAACTGAACCTGAATTATTGACCTGACAAAGACGCCTTTTTGAGGCCCGTCAGGCCAGAAGTTGATGTCAGTGCAATCTAATCTTGCCATGAAGTCAGCTAATTTTCACCACTTAACTTACTCAGCAACATTTAAGTTTAACTGCCTCCAAGATTAAAGTGTTTTTTGTGTGTGCGTTTGCTTTTCTTTAAACAGTCCAAGGAGTCCTCATCTGTCCTGAGCTGTGACATTTCTGCAGACGACAAGTACATCGTGACAGGCTCTGGTGACAAGAAGGCCACTGTGTATGAAGTGATCTATTAGAAGAGACTGCTTTGGATCGGAGCATGCTCAGGAACAGTAGACACTTCCTCCATCCTCCTTCCCTCACACAGACAGCATGGATGTTGCCTGCAGCTCCAAGGTGGATGGGCAGGAAGTTTGGCAGTGCCAGACGAAAATGGATGGTGGTGTTATTGTGGCACTGGATGCTGTGTCCTTCGGCTCTGCCCTTCCTCACTCATACAACTAACACTTGTACAGCGAGTGCAGTTTCCCAAGGCACCGAGAAGAAAATAATGTCTTGCTGTTTCTGTTTGTTGGATATTTCTTTTTTTATTCGTCCTTTTTAATGTGGAGATAAAGTTCCATGACACAAGTAGAAGCGGCGCTTCGCTCTGGAGCTTCTCCTTGGAGGTCCTGTGAAAAGTGTACATAATGGAGTAATAAAAGGCCTTTTATAGATTTATATTTTGGTGTCCAGTTACGCTTGTGATGGTTCTTTCTTGTTCTCTCCGTGATTTTCTGTCCCCTCCGGGGATGGAAATTAGATTAGGACTTTGTAAGAGGATATTCTATTTCAGTTTTTTCCCCCCTCCTCGGCTTTTTTTTTTTTTTTTCCATGTTCCTTGTCCAAAATGACCTTTTCGGAAATCTAATTTGTATTTTTTTTTTTCTCCCTGACAAAGGCTTTTTTTTTCTTCGCTATTTGCTGTATCACAGACATTTGTCCCATGGATTTTTGCAGTCGAGAATTCTGGAAAGGCTTTTTTTTTCTGTAGGGAGGAAAAAAATCATGGTTTCCAGTTATGTTTACCCTTTTGACCCTGATCAGCAGAATTTCAGCTTTGAAATGAAGACCTTTCACTGAACCCTGGCTCCTGTCTATAACATCAAAATGGATTTATATCAACTGTCGGATTGATGGGTTTTACAGAGAAGCAGCTGTGACTTGAGCTCACTCTGTTGACTCAACCACTGTATGAAACCTTTGCTCCACTCTGCAAAGTTTAGCCATCAGTCTATTAGAGATCGTTATTGCCGCTTGTGTTTGCGAGCCTGTGACTGATACGCAAGACTTGGTTACTCATAAAGGACGCAGGCAACGCCATTACCACGTTCGACATTTTGGGTGTATTCTTTGCTTTCTTCAGTATTTCATAATATTCACTACAATCTTCTCATAGACGGGAATGGTCTCATCATAAACACAAGTTAAGACTGTGTAGCATACATGTGGCATCATCCATAAGGACTGTACAGCTGACAGTTGTTGATAAATCAATAAACTGTTTTATATAAAATTTATCTTGACTGGATTTCTGTAGTGCTGTGGTAGATTTCCAAGGATTAGTTGGAGACTTTGGAGTAATATGGTTATTAGCTCTTTTTTTGTAAAGCATTAAATTGAGTGTATGACTGAAGATGAAGTTGCCAACAGAATCCACCTTAGCGTCATGACCAAACATGCAGAAATAGCTTAACTACCTGCAAATCTAAAGATTTTTTTTTCTTTTTCTTTTTTTAAATTTAATCTCAACAGGTGTATGTGCCCAAATGTTACTATTATTTGTTTGGTTTGGCTCAGTTTAAAAAGAAGAAAAAGCCTCCAGAAAGTTACTGAAGCCATCCAAGAAATGTTCCAGAACGCAGCCTGGCATAAAACCACGTGTCGTTTTTGCACTTTGGTTTTTGGATTAAACAAACAAGGCATAATGTGTTAATTGGTAAGCTTTAGAGGAACTGATAAACAGATTTTGTTATTGCCAGACTGTCTAAGGCTACCAGTTTCTCCCTTGCCTGTTGGTTCAAATTTACCAAACAACTCCTGGCAAGAAAGATGCCAAACCATTTGTTTAAGGAAAGAAGCTTAAAGTCACTGATTAATATTTGCTTTTACAGTGCGGCCAACAGTGGGTGTGGTAAAACATCTAAAGCACTTACTGCTGTTGAGGGCAATGCACCGACATGCTGAACGTCTCTCGGGCTTGCTTTTTCCTCTTCTAAAAACTAAAAATGCAACCTCAAAGTCCCCCTTGTCCTGTGTGTTGCTAGTGAGGGATCTCCCTTGCTCTAGCTTGCATCTACATTACATACAATCTTATTCACGGGCTGCTCTTGACAGTAAATGGAAGCACATCAGCAAATTGCTGTAAATGTATTCAGATAGGAGCTGACAACTGTCTCAGGAGAACCACAGACACGATAGAAAAAACATTCTGGGTGCAGTTAGCGAGGGTTGCTATGGACCTTTGCCATTGGTTTTAACTCAGAAGATTACAGAGCTTGCATTAATATTTGAGGGATGAACTTGATGCAACTTTCAAAGTCGCGTCGTGCTGTACCAACTGTGTTCACTGTCACGGCTAGTGACTTTTTTTAGAGTTTGGATTTATGCATGGTGGCAGCTATGAAATCACACGCCCATCACAGAGTGATACAATAAGGCAGAGGTTTATGAAGTGCCACTTCAGAAATATGACGTAAACACTGCTCTCGAGTTCCCTTGAGTGGTCTTTTGGTAGTTGAATACTTTTGGGCTGGACGGGTGAATGGCCCAATCCCTCCACTCCAGAGCAACGCTCTCCTAGGACTCTGTGCTTGAAGCTGTGAGCCCTTCATATGGCTGCCTCTTCAAACATGTTGTTGTTAGATTATAAAAGCGGGGCCGGATGCTTTTAGCATGGAGCCAGCCGCCATGCCCCGCTCTCACGGGCTCATTTGTTAAAGGCTATAGTCTTTCTTTTCCCACATTGCTGAAGTGTGTACTTCCTGTGCGCATTTGTAGCTCAAGCTTCTTGCTCAAGTACAGTTTTCTTCCTCACTTAATCAAACAGTGGAATATCTGCAGGTTGAAAGGTTGTACCTCTGAGTGCCTATTGCAGGACATTGAAGGGGTCATTGTCTCGCCTTCCGCTGATCTACCTCTGAATGGAAGGCTTTCAAACAGGTTCTCGTGCAAAAGCCCATGGTGCTCTGTTCTATTTAGAGAACGGCAACAGTGCAGTGTAAGGAAATAGAGTGGCCTAAGTGTTTTACAGCAGCTCTGTGGATAAGAACGTGGTCCAGTTCTCTTCTTCTCTTTTGCATTGTCAGAGCCAAGACTCAAAGACAATACAGAAATTCAAGGGTGGTCTGTAATGCCAATGTGTGCACTGTGTGAATGTCTTTTTTTCTTCTTTTTTTTTTTGGTTGTATTTTGTTTTGTTTTTTTAGCTTTAACTCTCAGGCACTGATCACAGTCCACCAGATTTCTGGCTGGTTCTTTTGGCTGGCATTCTGTTTTCTACCCTCCCCCATCCATCACACAGAGAATCAGGATTTATTTATTTATTTTTCAACAGCGAGGGACTGGCACCGTGCTGAAATGCAGAATAATAATCCCCTAATCACCTGAGTATTGCCAGTCCTAGGTTTTATCTGCAATGGACGTGAAAGCCCCTAGTGCCTAGTGATTACAGCATTTGATCTGGGTAATAATGTCTTCACTGTTGCCCTGCCTAGGGCCCGAAGGCAGCACAGCTCTAATCCACAGTGCATTCTAGTGGAATCGCATTACACAAAGACCACCAGGGTTCTCCTCTAGAGGGGAGGGGTGTGGGGGGTTAAAGGAGGAGGTTGCCATGGAAACAAGCTTCTCTTTCTCTTTCTCTCTCTCACAGACACACACGCACACTAATACATCACACGCGCATACACACATACTCTCTCCTGGGACAGATAAGCAAAGGACAGGTTCTGTGTTTACTTTCCGCAGACCCTCCAATCCCCGAGCAGGCTGAGCCCTGATAACACGAGGCCTGTACAGCCAGCGACCACTGACAGCAGATAAGCACTCCAGCAGAGCAGAGCAGTCATCACCCTCCAACCAGGATGAACAAACCTGGGAGACCCGGATTCATTTGGATTAGACTGGATTGCTGCTGCCACCGCCGCCGCTGCTGCTGCTGCTTTTGCTGTCGCTGGTGTGTTCAGACTACTGATGTTCACAGGACTTTCTACATGAGAACTTGATGCCGCACTTAATCCTGTGGCGTCCCAGAGTTTAGTCAGAGGACACGGCCACAGTAGTGGACTGGGAACTATTTTAGACACTGAGGTCAAAGGAGTGTCTGCTCTGGGCAGGTTTACGTGGCTGCAGTTAGAGAACCGTGGAAAAAACTACATTTCTCCTAACATGTCCCAGAGACAAACACCACACATTATTAGTATTCTGCTTCAACATTTGTCCATGTGTGCTGTTTTTGTAATGGAGAAGGTTGGAGATCTGTGAGGACATTCCTTTATATTAGTTCCAAGTATCCACTAAAATCCGGTAATTCAATACCAGGGGTAATTAGATTTGTATGATAGTAATGCCCCAAGAAAGAACCAACACGGTCTTTGATGTTGAGATCAAGACGGCTACAAGTACTTCTTTATTATGTGCATTATGCTAACATTCTAATTATTTTTCCACACACATTCTTTGATTAAAGCACAGCTGGAGGTGTATAAGCAACATGACTAATTACAGAGGAAATGGAGTTACTGAGCTAAAGTGGTGGAAGCTGGATTTCCCTTTGGCCCCTTCTTCTCACTGTTTACTTCTAATGCATACTTCATTTCTTTTGAGAAAGCCAGTTACCAGCTTTGACCACTTACTCTGAAATAATAGAGGGGGACAGTGAACAAATATAAGGTTTGTAAGCCTATATTTCCTAAGTAGTTAATATTGATTCAACTCTATATGCCAACTGTGTATAGTAGCTTCTGTTTGTTGTTCTCTGTGGGATAAGATATAGTTGCTTTCAGTGACAGTTAACCACAAAATACAGGGCATATTCATAAGGATAATATTATCGACTACTTAGTACAAAACATGCAACAAGTAGTCTTCTCTCTAAACTTTACAGCACCCTGTGGCTTTTCCCTAATACATATCCCACTTGATATTCACAACTTCAGATTCTGCAGTGAAGCCTTAGAAGGCAGGTGTATCTTGCATGCACTGTAAATGCTGCTACACAGGCCTGAAAAAAGGGGAGCTTTGTGTTATATCGGTCCACCTGCCAATCTGAATATATTTATTATTGGTTTTCAAAATGAACAGAAGCTCAAAATTTAATTTTCATGTATATGTACACACGTGTAAATAGGTATAAGGTAAATAGCTAAAAGTGAATTTAATTGTCACTTCACGTGATTATTTGAGATACAACTCCTTTAGATAACTAGGTGGTATAACTTTGATCAAATCAGCTAAAAGGTAGGGGTGAGCATTGACTGGGCACCTTTCTAGTATTCGAGTAACTCATGATGTTCAAGAAAACAGTTTGAGGTGATCTTTGTGACATGCTGTGTTATCCAGACATCGAAAAACAGCTGCACTCTGGTCATAAATAGATAGACATGGTGAGCAATAATACTCAGGCAGGCTGTGATATTTAAAATATCATAAAATGATACTAAGGGGCATGAGAAAAGATCCCCCACACCATTATTAAGATTAGCATGAATGCATGCTTTCATATCGTTTACGCCAAATTCTGACCATACCACCTAAATGTGACAGCAAAAACATAGATTCAGCAGATTAGATAATGGTTTTAGAATCTTCTATTTTAGAAGCCTGTGCAAACTAGCCTCAGTTTCTTGTTTTTAGCTGACAGGAATGGCCACCAGATGTGGTCTTCTGCTGCTGTAGCTCATATGCTAAAATGTTTGACTTGTTGCACCTTCAGAGACGCTCTTCCGCATATTGTGGTTCTAACAAATGGATATTTGAGTAACTGTTTCCACTCTATCGGCTTTTCTCTTCTGACCTCTGAAAAGTGCTGCTCAATGGATATTTTTGCTTACCATTTTCGGTAAACACTAGCAATGGTTATGTGGGGAAAATCCCAGTAGATCAGCAGTTTCTGAAATACTTTAAGCAACCACATGAAAGTCACTTAAATCAATCCTTTTCCCTGTTCATATTCTCAGTTTCAACTTTGGCAGATCCTCTTGACTATGACTCCACGTCTACATGCACAGAGTTTGTGCCATATGAATAGCAGATATTTGCATTAACTGCAATATCTAATCATTTGTCCCAAAAAAGTGGCCAATGATTGGCCAAACACAGGTACTGGATGATATGAAATATTTTAGAATAACAAAAATATATTAATTAATTATGTGGAGGAAAAAGCGTTGTCATTCTGAACAGATACCTAGCTTGAGGTTTTGTTTGTAGCTTTCAACACGTAGCTCTGTCTCTTCTCCATATGTTAGCTGTATTCGCTCCTAAGCAGCTGGAGTAGTTTATAATAGGGGTGCAACGA